AACTCGGTGAAGTATTGCTGGATCAAATCGGGTCACCAATACAAAGACATCATATTAGATGATTGTATGAACTTGATTTTTTTAGAATTAGACAAAGTTGCTATTAACTTTGACTACCTCTATCAGGTTTTCAATAGATTATATTCTTCCAGTCCAAACAATCAAATTCGAATAGGCACCGAATTGTACCAACAGATATCCGGATGTGAACAGTTTTCGTCACTAATAGACTCAAACTTTTTGGTTTGGCAACCAATACTAGCGCCATGGCATAACGTCTAGCCACATGTAATTAGACTTCTCTATTTTGATAATTGAATACAATAAGCTGATGGAATCGTCCTGTGCTTGAGTTTCTCGAAACGAAAACCAAAGTAAATCAGATAGACTAATTTATAGTGCCGCATCCATAATATACATTCTGACTATTTTATTGGAGTACTTCAGTGGCAAAAAAAGAATTGAGGTTGGAATAATATTTCAATTTTGAGTTCATATGGGCATCGCTTCACATAAGAGGTCTGATGATTCTCTGTCCTTGGTACCTACAAATGATTTATGGCTGGTGCGGCTCATACCCTTTTTGGATGTTGGTTGCAGAGATAAGTCGTGCACCAAGTGCCAATGAGGTTCTGGAAATTTTTCAAATTTCTCAGAATCATTCCAATTTCTTCTGTTTTGCAACACTTTTGTAATAGGAGCAAGCAACAGCTGAAATCGGTTGAATAAACGTATAGAGACTATGGCCAATTCAGCAGCTTTAATTGCCAAATATTTGGGCGCTGTGAAACAGACCGAATTAATCGAAAGCTTATCGCAAGACATTGTCAATAACCCAGAAACCATCGATGTCTTGATTGAATTATTGGATGATTTCGATGTCAATGCAAATAAGCGGGTGTATGGAGAATTATTAGGGTATTCTAAACTGGTCTTACTTCAACCAGAAACCATTGAAAGGAATATCAGGTTAATTAGCAAATCACTGCAATTACGTGAAGATGTCTTGAAACATATTATACATTTGTTTGGAATGTATATCCACAAATATATCAATTACTTCAATAAGGAATTCCCTAAGATTATTAAATTGGAAAATTTTAACAAAGTAGATACAAACGACTTTGAAATGGAACATGACGATCTCATTGTATTGTTTCAGTTCTTGGAAAGCTTATTCATGCTGGAAGAAGGAAACGACAACAACGAACACAGCTACATCACTAAACAGTTAGATACTTTATTATTATTCTTTCTTGGCATAAACGATGATGAAATATCTTCCATAATCTCCCGTTTATTAAGATGGAGAATTGATTCAATAACCTCCCAAGCCATCAACACTACTTTAATCTGGGATATCATCTTCAGTTTAGAAAGCACCAAAGTGAAATATCACAAAAATCACGCCTACATCCTCTGGTTGAGATACATTTCCGTCCTTCCACCCGCTGACCAGATCTACCCTAAGGTAATCCAACCAGACTCGTATTGGTCAATCCTCCAAAAGGGTTTGATCAGTGATCTGCACGAACACCGCAAATTCACCCTCCTGATCCTTCAACTTTCTATTAAAGCAATCAACGTGCCCGTTTCTAATAACTATATCAAATGGAATCCTGAGGAATCGGAAAAGCATTTGGCGGAATGGGCGAGATATATCACACTTTTTGAAATATTAGGGATTGATACTTCATTGCACCAAGCGGAAGCAGCATTGCATGATATCACTGGTCTTATTTCTCCTACTTCGCTCATTCAACCAAGTTGGGGTTGGTGCCTTCTTTCTACAGGGTTCAAGGCCACCATGGATTCCGTGAGGAAATTCACGTTGAAGTTATTATTATCTATCCCATTGGAAAATTTATGGTTGATTAAATACGGATTAGAGTTCTTGGAATCGACATTTTTGCCTAATTTGATGTTGGCATCGCATTTGGGGGTTAAGTGCGTGAATGGAGAGAACAAGTGTGAATATTCTCGGGATTTGGTCGAGTTTATTAGAAATTTGGTTCTGAATTTGAATAATAAGGAAGAATATCATGATGTAGTGTTGAGCATTTTGAACGTGTTGGCTAATTTGAAAGATGCTTTCGATCCTGCAAGAATCTTGGTTTCTTATGGGTTGTTAAGTGGATTGGAGAACAAAAAGGTGTTGAAGCTTGGTGTCCACGATGTTCCATTGTTGACTTTGTTTGAAGCGAAAGCAGAAGGGGATATTTTGCAGACTACTTCACAAACTGTTAATTTGAGATTATTGACTTCATTTGAACTTACAGATAACAACATTGGCGAGTTCTTGGAAGTGTTGAATAAGTTTGTCAAATTTAATGGGTTTGAATTAGTGCATGATAACTTATCCATCTTGAAAGAATATGTTAGCCATATTGATCTTCATCAAGCCTTGAAATCAACGAACAATATTGAACACAAAGTATTACTTTTCGGATTATCCGGTCAGACTGATCAATTGGCCGACTTTATCAATTCATCATCAGATAATACCATCCTATTAGCCAAATTATTACAATCTGGGTTTAATTCAGAATCATTGGCGTCAGTACCATTAGAAAAATTATTAAACAACCTTGATGACATTGAGTTATGTAAGGCATTATCATACGTCAACTTCGAGACCTTCTCCGTGAATGTATCTTCGGATAGAATTTCTCAATTGTGGAAAGATCTTGAACAAGAATTACAGTCCAAAGACTACTACGTTCTTGTGAATTCATTGAACAAGTTCAGGTTATTTAATAACTTGTATCAAAATTCCTCATTCCAATTCACTGACCAACAAACAATGCTCAAAGCTTTTAATGTCATCTTGTGCCATTCTCATGAGATTTCTAAACAAGTGAAACATTTCTATAAATTAAAAGACGAAATCATGGGCGAATATTTCGTGGCATTGCAGATCACAACACAAAGAACCCCACCGTCTACCCATCATGCATTCAGCCAGATATTAAATGTGATGAATTCAAATACATCCGATATGAAATCAAACTATGCCATGGTGAAAACGATTACTGATTATTTGAACACCGATACCAAATCTGACGATAGACTGTTATGTCAGGATATTGTCGAGTTGTTGACCCTGATGTGGATAAATCTTGAGGCGTGCAGATTGCAACTCAACCAACGTGATCTCCATACTTTACTTATTCAGACTTTGTTCCATCCCAAGATCTTACTTGCGTCAATTGACAACGATAGCATTCAAGTATCTTTGACCAAGTTTTGTGAATCGGTGATTGAAAATTCAACGGGAAGGAGAAGTTTATTACCTAGCTTAACGAAATCCGTTTCTGAATTTCAAATTAAGGACGTTAGTGCATTCGAGAGATTGGGTCAATGGATAATTCGTGCTTTGGTGGATTCATTTTTAGTTTATCAATTAAGGAATAATTCTTTCAGATTAGAGTCCATTATTGGTGACTTATTTGACACAAAGCTCGCTTTGAGAGATGATTCAGATATATATGCAACTGTGTATGGAGCAGAAGAAATCTCAGCTAGGATTAATTTAATGGCAATTTTCAATTCTATCAAGAGTCACGAATTCGCACAACTGATTTATAAGTATATTATGACCCATGCCGAGGAGAAATATCACTTATTCAAGCCTTTGAAGAATACTGATAGCTTTGAAGAATGGAATAGAATCCAATTGTTGTCAATTTTGATTTCAATTATTGACAAGATAACTATTGAAGAGGACATTGACGTGATTTTGGGCTTGATCAAGACTGAACCATCTCCTTTGGTTAGAATGTACATCGAATGGATAATTTCGTACAATTTATTATCCAATCAAGACCTCACCCGCCGTATTCTTATCTCATTAACTAATGATAATTTGAAGCCAGCGGTAATAACTTCCTATCAGAGAATAATGTATTTACTGATCCAACAATTAGACACCCAACATGAAGCTGAATTATTAACCAAATTCTTAAACATAGTCATCCCAGCAGCTACATCAAGCAAAGCCGTTACCAGACACTTTTCACTCTCTTTGATAATCTCAATTCATCAAGAACTCCATCAGAAACCTCAACTTAAGATTGATGATAATTTAGTAGAAATGGTGAATAATATGTATAAGGCTGCAAGTGCTTCCGAGTCATTTGGACAATACAGAAGTGGAGACGCCTTGTTATGGAATATTAAGCAAGATATCGCATTGGTTAGCATTTCTGGGGGAATTATTTTGAGATTATCCGATCGGGAAGATTTAGATTTTATAACCAAACACCAATATGAAACCTACTTATCACCATCGCAGATTTCCATCTTAAACCATCCAATCGGAGAAGATCAAAATGAACTATGGGTCAGACAACGGAAATCAACCAAGAAGGCGATTGTCTCTGAAGCCAGCGGAATCGCTGGTAGTTCGCCATTACAAACCAAAAGTGGTGCTTGGAATACCGTAATGGACGTGGATGAAAATACAAGGGGAAATGATGTGGTTAGAAGTGATTTGATTGTTGTTTCTTCCCTAGTTGATAAACCACCCAATTTAGGTGGGATCTGTAGATTATGTGATGTGTTGGGGGCTGGATTGTTGACATTGAATGATATTGAAGTTAAGAAACATCCACAATTTAAGAGTGTTGCTGTGACTGCTGATTATTGGATGCCAATGGTTGAAGTTAAGGTCGAAGATATCAAAGATTATTTGAAGGAGAAGAAAAGGGAGGGATATACTTTGATTGGGTTGGAGCAGACTGATAAATCGGTGGAATTAAATAGTGAATTGAAGTTTCCGGCTAAATCATTGATCTTGTTGGGAAGAGAAAGAGAGGGTGTTCCGGGAGAATTATTGGCAGAATTGGATTTCTGTGTTGAGATTAAACAAGTTGGGGTAATTAGATCTATGAATATTCAAACTGCAACTGCAATTATTGTTCATGCTTATTCTACTCAACACTGTTGAGGATGTGTGTATTAGTATAACTATGTATATTTTATAGAAATTGAATTTTGTACTAAAAAATTGAAGCATCAGCGGCATCTTCTTCATCTTGTTCTATCAATGTATCCAAAGCCTTAATGATCATTGGACAATACTTGTTACATAAATTCATAGCCTGAACCAAACGGGTCAGATTCATTCCTTTAAAGTTTGAATTATTTGAATTTATACAGAAATTGATATTAGCAACTGGAGTTATGACCTTGTTGCTATAGAAACTTATCATTAACCCATTTTCCAATACTTGCTCTTCTTCAATTGACGGATCAAAAATTAAATTGGACCCAATGACGCCTAAACCAATTATGATTGGGGGTTGAAACTCAGGGAATTTCTGGTTTATAAACGTTGAATTATCCCAATCATCCGAGAATGTAGGTTGCTCTGCGATTTCTTCATCATTGACTTCACTTATCAATAATGGCAATCTTGTTGTTTTTAAAGCCAAATAACAAGTCAATGAAATCAAACTCAATGGATATGAAGAATGGCTAATTATAATGCAATCAATGTACAACTTAAAACTATACTTTTGAGTCAACTTCAATACTTCCAGGGGAAAGTTTTGAGTCAATAAATTAAGTAAATGGAATCGTAAATTTGTAACAAAATTAGAATCATCACGATATCCAACCACATCAACATCACAATCAATTAGATTGGGTTCCGCAGAAGTTAATACCACTTTAGCTTTAATACTGACTATACACTCACTACCATCTGCTAATCTTATTCTTGCAGATCCATTTGAACTCGGTAAGAATGACGTCTTGGCTTCCAATGGTCGATATTGATGTTGAGATCGAGAATCTGGTCTTATAGGCGGAGTGTGAATTAATGAATCATACAAGTATGATCTTTCTGCTGGTGATAGCAGCATTGTATATTGGAACTATTACGATTACTCCAGCTTTTTGCAGCAAATTCTTGTTGAAGTTTACTCTGGAGCCTTAAAGTCACAACTCGATATTCAAAATGGTGATGAGGTCGTGCGAAAAAAAAACTACAAGAATGTCGGACTAGGTTCTCATAATTGTACGACATAAATATAATGTCGTCAATGTCTCAGAACGTAAAAAAAAAACACCCAAACATTTCATCGCTTTCATAATCATCATCATCGAATTCCATCAGTTAGTTCTAGATTCATTCGCTTCCTTAAGTCGCGTCATCATGTTTGGTCAATCAAGTTCATACATTCTACTGCAACCAACGAGTTCATTTACTGGAGGAACAACAACAGCAGGACAGCAATCAGGAGGAATGTTTGCACAACAACCGCAACAACAGCTACAATCAGGTTCATCAACTCATTCGGCAACATCAATGATTGGTGCTTCTTCATCTACGACGCAACCTCCTGCTTGGTTTCAAAACCAAACCAAAAGGACCATCCCTAATCATCTAGTCCCAAAAAGAAAACCCAGTTTTCAAATCGCAACAGCGGCAACTTCAAAATCAAGTAACAATAAAAAGGGAAGATCAAATCGAAGACTATCAATCAGTTCCAACGGTTCTGGAGGATCAATCTCCTCTTCAATGCTAGTCTCCCATGATCAATTTAATATAGTATCTTTTGGTAGCCAACCACAACAAGGTCAACAACGTAGAGCCATGAGCCAAGGAGGTGATCGACTCAATAGTATAAGTGGCGGCAGCTTATTCGACACTAGTTTTGATATAAGTAAATATGATGATACCATTAACGAATCTAAAGATGAAAACGAACTCATTCAATTTGGCGGTGCTGATGATGTGCCTCCAGCAAGATCGATTTATGATTTGAATGATGAGATTTTAGTTAGCTTGAACAAGCCAGTTCAACAAATTGATTCATTCATAAATAAAGATCCTAAAAGTTTTCATAATTTATTCAACCGTGATCAACAAGAATCCACTACTGAATCTGAGGAAACGAAACATGCTGAACAAGAAAAGCGTCGTCAACTGGTTAATCAGTTGCAATATAGTGAATCAGCGATCTTGGTATTCGGATACCCTGAATCATTATCTAATCAAGTCATTCAGTATTTTAGTGAATTTGGAGACATTTTGGAACAATTTGAACAAATTTCTAGTCCTGGTTCTGCTTCTTCCTCCAAATCAAATTCTTTACTTTCCATCAATTCTCGAAAGAATCGTAAAATTGTTCCAATATTCAGTGGGACCAATTGGGTCAAGATTACATACGATAATCCAGCATCAGCAATCGATGCTCTACAACAAAATGGTAGTGTATTTAACGGGATCTTATTAGGAGTGGTTCCATATGAGAAAACCGCACTTGAGAAATTGAAAAAGAGAAAGCTTGTAAAGAGCGAAGATATCGGGGGCACAAATGTTTCATTAATGCAATCCACTCCAAAGAAACAACAAAAAGAGAATGGCGAAGCACCTCTAGCTGAGGCTGCTCCAGCTTCCAATGGAAACGCAGCTACATCTGCACCTGCTTCGATTTCATATCTGACTAAATTAGACATAAAAGAAGGGTCGCAATTCTTCTTAAAACCAGACGGGAATGAGCTTAATAATAAAAAGGACGATAATAATAAGAATAAAGAGAAGCTTGGTGTGTTGGGCACATTGTCGAAATATATCTTTGGATTTCATGATTTATAGATATTCTTAATATTGTGTATAACTTTATATAACAATTAGAAAATCCTGGCTACAGGCTACTTCAGCGCAAAATGAGAGAGTTTGAGTCTCTTTACATCAGGGGTAAAGAACGCGAGCTGTGCACTACTCTTTTAAGGCAATAATTAAAGTATAAATGAAACCATAACTTAAGACCATTGGCATACGGTACATACCTAACACTTCTTGCTAAAGAAATATCACGTGCGACGGGATATCATGCGACGTTTGGACCATTACAACTACCTGACTAGCTATGCAAACTTTAACAACTTTACAAATTTTCCCTTTAGATGTCCCTGAAGTTGGGAGGCTATAGAGTTAGCAACGGTTCAACCATATCTGGTCATGAACTCCTAATAGAATCTACAATAGCAGGAACTTTCGGCTACTAGTCAAGGTTGACTCCTGTACTTGAACACTAGCCAGAAACATTAACCTATCTGCCAAGTGCTTTTGTAGCTTATTGCAAGAATGATCCAAACAAAGTAATGATGACGGGAGTTTAATATTCGCTCGCTTTCTAATTGGAAATATAAATTGATCTCAGTAGATTCCATGCACTCGTTGGTTTACTGATCATTTAGCCCAGGGATAAAATAACTGCGCTCTCGCGGATTTGGATGGAGGAATTATATACTTATTATTAATATGACTACAAGATCTTGCGAATGTTCGGTCCTTGCCTCTGGTTCGTTTTAATTCGTATATACACAGAATTTGGTTTATCCATTACGCTGAAAATTTTACAATTCGTAGTTATACACCCTAGTCTACTGTAAATTGAGAATAACCGTCTGGGATAGCAAAAACACCAAACACTACAAAAAGCTGGGGCCGCAGTATAATGAAAAGATAGGTTCAGAATAGTACGATAAAAATCTTATCCCCTTCTCATTGACATGCTCTCGTAGCAGGCTGTCCAACAACAATTCAACCATATTTGGACACCGTGCTTTAATCACATTTACAATAGCTTGTACATCCTCCAAGTCTTTGTTTCCAACCAAGCAGAACTCCTGTAATCGAACGCAGTCCAGAACTATTAAACCGTTACCCATGCCCGGTTGTAGATTATTGTCAGAAAGATCTAGACTAAGCAATGATGAAGGAAATTTTAATAACCGTCCGCTTTCTGATTGGAGATATTCATTGATCTTAGTAGAAGCCATGCTCAAATGGCGCAATTTGGTTAAAGGTGTAAAAACTTCAGGAGAACAAAACAGGGAAATCGGATTTCCATCAAGGGATATCCATTCTAATGATAATGGAAGTTGGTTTTCTTGCAAGTGATATATCTTATTTCCCAGCAAATCCAATTTCACGAGATTCTTACAGTTGTGTAATTGCAAATCGTGTAAAAAATCACACGCGATAGCAGACTTCCTTAAATATAATTCCCTCAACAGTGTCGGAAGAATATTTGGTTCGATTTTGACAAGTTTACATGGTCGACGCGACCCATCTGGTTCCAGTTCTGGGACTGTTAATGAAAGCACTTCGACAGAATTAGGTATTTGAAAGTTGGAGCTAATAATCCATTCTAACAGTGTATTTGTTAATTCTAAGTTGGTCAAACTTGGTGCTTCAATGATGACTTTGCTTAGTAATACATTATTTGATAAGTCTAAGGTCTTCAAATTAGATGGTAACTTACATACAAAGTTATTCATCCTATCGCATCTAATTCTAAGTTGATATAAGTTTTCCAATTCAGAAAAATCCATCGATTCTATTGGATTAAGGGACTGTAGATCCAAACTACGCACCGATTTCGGAAACGGTGCACTTATTCTATTCAATACAGGAATGGAAAGTCTGATCTCAATGAGAGAATCCAGAAATAGGGATTCCCACCAGACTTTTTCCGATTCATATTTATTATCTGTTTCATATTCCACGGGAAAGAACCTCCAAACGACCAAACCCATTAATGAAGGTGGCAATGTCCATTCATCAAGATTATACAGCGCCTTAGAAGCAGCGACTTGAAGGACTTTCAAATCGGCAGGAAATCGAAATTTTTCGTCAATTTCCACCAATGGCCTAGGACTAAGATCTTCCACTGTTGACTCATGCACGAACAAATCGAGCTTTTGTAAGCTTTCGGGAAAGGTCGTAGATTCGGAAAAGGCCAACACTTCCGTTTCTTCATCCATATCAACAGTAATCTTAAATTCTTTCAAGTTAGGATATGATTCTATACTTTCCAAATTTGCCACCTCAGTCGTATGATCACTACCTGATAGCATTATCCTTTCAATTCCACGAGGAAATTTGAATCGGCTCAATCTATCCACTCCCGACATGCAATCAGCAACAAATACTCGCAAACTTTCCAAATAGGAAAGATCCAATTGGTCAATTGAACATACAGTTATTTGCAAGAGCTGTAAGGTTGACGGCAAACGTGGCAAGCCGGTCTCGTGTAAGTCAACAAAATGATGCAAAATTAATTTTTTCAAATTGGGAAACAATACATCAAATTCAGCAATGCCTTTGCATCTAAGCTCTTGGAGGTTCTCTCCCCATGTTTTATCGACGAGTTCTGGAAGATTATGGGTGCGTAGACTGGAGATTTTGGATAATATCGATGTATCCGGTAGAATCACTCCGGGGAGATCCGACACCAGGTAAATATTGTATTGATCAAATATAACTGGCTTTGGTACACGTTTGTCGTCTAATAAAAATGAAAGAGCTATTCTCGGCAATCGTTTGAGTATATGAGGATAGCGTTTGTGCAACCAAATAAAGCGCTCCATTCCGGAGAATTCAAGAAGCTCGGGTGTGAACCCGGGGAATTTCTTGATCAATTGGATAAATTCATTAACTGTTAAACGTTTACGATCTTTGATGTGAAGACCACTAAATTTGTCTAGAGATTCACGTAGGACGTTATGTTCGACTTCTTCCGTTGTCGTGATGTATTTGAATTCTTTTGGTTCAGGAGAGAATCCGTCACGATACTGTGAGTACGAAGATACGATTGCAATACAACGATAAAGCTTTTTAATTGCATGGTATCCCAATATTGGAATGTCGACATATCTTTCCAAATAATCGTCAGGTATATAATAAACGATAAGGTCAATTATCTCGGTAGGTAAATAGGCGATTCCAATGCTCCTTTTTTGCTTTTTACGTTTTGGTTCATTCTGATGTTCTTCCATTGTGTAACAAGTTGACTACTTCTATAACTTTGATGGCAATACTTTGAAGAAGGAAGTGATGTACTCTTTGTAGAAGAAATGGAAAGGATGTCTGAAAAGATTGGGGTTAAGATGCCCTATGAAAAGAACGCGCATGGTCGGGTAACACCGAACAAAATGGACAAGAAATATCCATACTGTTTGATCTACTAGTTCGTGCACCCATAAATTGTACTAGGTATCCCTGGTATGAATTTAATGAGTTCGCATTCTTATTGAATGTGGAGAAACTGTGGGTAACCTATAACCTGATCTGATTTAAACTTAATTGTGTATATACAAAATTCAAATTGTAAACTAATTACATTGAAACTTCGGGAATTTTTCACTCGTATCTGTCACAACTATGACGATATTCAAATCTGTGACAGTATCTGTGATTCTCATAAAGGAGCTTGCTTAAATTGTACCAAGACTTGAAGTGCTTAAATCATCTACTAGATACGAAGAAACACTCGCTCTGGCCTAATTGACAATGCTAACCCACCAGGACCACTATCAGAGACCGCCTGCTAATTGCCAAGGACTCGACAGCTAACCGTAGCATGGCTACAACAACTTCTGCTTCCTATATCTGACATGGGCGGTAGCTACGATCCCGGCTATTGAAGCCACTTTTAAGTTATGACGTTTTAGTCCTGTAGCTTTGATTATACATGCTCTTACAAGAAATGTATTCGCGTGCCTTCTCTATTTAACAACATACACAAAAATCTAACTAATTAGTGATTCTATTCCTCTCTATTCGCTATCTCCACAGTCTTGAAGAATTCACATCAGAAGGACGTCTCCTAGTGGGACTAGGAGATTTCCACTTCTCCAGCATTGACGCTCTCACCGGACTAGGCGATCTAAACCCTTGTTGTTGTTGATGCTGGTCCACAATACTACCGCGCCTACTTCCAGTTTCAGTATCTTCATCGTCATAATATCCTAAACTCGGTCTATTTGGACTCAATCTATTCCCAACCAGGGGAAGAAAACTTCGTTGGCCCAAACTAGGAGAAACTCCTCCTCGATGGTGTGATGGACTGGGTGATCTTGTGGAACTATGTGATCTATTAACTAACCTATTCGGACTTGAGGATGTTCTCAAGTCAGGTGTATATGGAAGTGGGTTTAGAGGAAGCATTTGGGGGAAATTATCTATTGGAATGGGGTTGAATGGTTTATAGGGGGTTGACAGGGTGATCCAACTCCGGTCATCATTTCTTTGATGTTGACCGTGTGGTGGTGGAGTTGGATTGGGATTGTAACTTGGTAGCCTTGAGAATTGGTACGGATTGATGTTGTCTTGGTAGGACATGTATGGATTTCTTTGATCAAAGGCATTGAGATAATCTTGTGGAGCTTGATGTTTTTGGTGCCTGGATGGTGGTGTTGGTGGGATCAGTTCTCCATATTCGGTGATTTGTTTCCCTTTGATGTCATGGGTAGTGAATACTTTTGATTTTGTAAAAGTATATCCTTCTTTATCTACTAATACATCCAGATGGAATGGGCCCATTGTCGCATCTATCACAGCATCTTTTTTTAAGATTGTTGTTTTTGGTTTCACAAATTTATTGTTATATTCTTGAAACATTTCTTGGTAGATTATTTGTTTGTCTGAAATTAAGGATTGATATTTGTCTATCCAAATGTAATTGAAACCAGTTATAAGCGTAATCAACAATATAATGGATAACAACGATGATGAGGTTGGAGTTAGGCAAGAGATTATGGACATATTAATTGGATTCAATGCAATTGATAAATATAATTGAAATAATGGAGGATTCCAAACATTTAATTGCCATATTTCATTTTCTCCAATATGTTCATTAGTTTCATCAAATGTTACATCTTCTTCTTCTGAATCTTTCCAAAACAATTTTAATAAGAAGGCTAAAATTTCAAGGACATATGATATTTGATCAATTGAAGATTTGAAAACTGATTTTGATTTTGGTTTTTGTTTACAATATAATAAACCATAATTCCTCTTGGTGGTTAGTACTTGTATCATATTGATAATTGCAAGAACAGCAATAATGGTATATATTAAATTTAATAACCCAATTGCAGTACTAGTAAAAGGAGTGATATCATCTTGATCAGCAATGGAAATGGGTTTCTTCAGGAGTAAGTTTCTCTTCAATTGCTCATAATTATGATAATCACTATTAAAAAGGATATTGTTTGATTTAGAATTAATAGATTGATAATAATTAAGGATAGTACTTATAATTAAACAAGTACATATACTTAATATACCCAAAGGTAATGCTATTGTAGTTGCATAATTATCCCAATCTATTGATAATCTATATTCATTTATAGTCAACCATAAATCAAATGGCCATGATTGTATTTTGGATATTAACGACTGTCTTCTTATTAGCTTTTTGTTATTAGTCATTTGCTAATACTTATAGTTAATCTTATAGTATGCTTTCAATCAAAGCAGTAGATGATGAAATTAATTGATTTTTTTTTATCGCTTCTCGTATATGGGGTCCTTGTTTTTTGTTTTGTTTTAGTTTGTTGATCTGATTTTATTTTTTTCTTTCTTTCCTCATTGGGATTCTTCTTCTTTCGCACGCCAATGTTACACGTCCTTGGGAATTGCTTTGGTAGATGTCAATTTATAAGCAAATAGAAAATAATTGATCATATCGGAGTGGGTTTTTATAAATTAATTTTGAATAATTTATTCTATGAGGTTATTATTATAATTAGTAATACTTATCATTCTCAATTTATGTACCGCACCCTAATATAGATGGATCTAGGCTGGTATATAGTTTAATATATAACTACAGATCTCTTTCCTTTATCGGTGGTTGTTTGTGTGTTCTTATGTATGTTGTTATACCGCGTATAATATATTAACTGGATATATAAAACTACTAAAAGATAAATACGAAAGATTTGCAGCATTTAAATTTTTATTGACTTTTTAAATTTCTCTCACTGTCACGGTACTGACTGCACTTACGACGTTTGCCTATATAAAAGTCAGTTCTGCGACATCACGACATGGATGTCGTTACTTTAGAATCTGAGCGATTTGAGTCAAGTGTAATCAAGTGTCATTGTTACAAGTTTTAAATAAATAATATTGTGGAATTATAATTGTATTGCAAATATGGTAATTTGAGGTTAATTGTTTAAAGTATGCTTGGTATTTAACAAGCTACATTTCTTCTGTTTTATATGTTTTTATAGTTTTGTTTATTATCAATAAATTACGTTTCGAACGATTTAATAAGAGAGCAAATATCAAAAGTCTTAAGTCTGACCATCGGTATGGTTAGGCCGTTAGTGGCGAATTAACTACTTCGACATCATCTACATTTATCACATATCCCCCAATATCAGCACCATTACATATACGCCATCAGAGAGTAAAGATTAAGTGAAGCACTTTCCCTTTACGCCTGCATATACACATTTAAATCTTCGTAGTTTAAACTGTGACACTCACCCAAAAAAAAAAATAATAATAAAATCAAATTTGGTTGTAAAAGTTTTAACGCGTCTAATTTATTTTCAACAAGCGTTCTTTTATTCAAATCAATTCAAATCAATTTAAAGCAACACTAACAAGTTTCAATTATGTTTAAAAGACGAGAATATGAAAAGTATAGGCATAACAAAAAAATGGACATCCAAATACTGAAGCATAAGCTACGAGAACTTATACGCGAAAATAGAGAGATGATTGATTCGGATGAAGAACCTCTCATTGGGGATCACACAATGAATATAATCTTGAATGAGAAGGATGATTATGATATGGGGTTAGATTTTCTAAAGTCACCGGTTCAACAACAGCAGCGAGAACAGCAACCTCCTCAAGAAAAACGTCAACAACAACAACAACAATTACACTTACAGCAGCAGCAACAACAACAACAGCAGCAGCAATTGCAACAGCAGAAGCAACAGCAACAAGAACAAAAGCAAAAGCAAAAAGAGGAACAACAAAAGCAACAACGACAAAAGCAATACCTTCGTCTTGAATCACCAAACAAGCAACAACCACATCAATATGAAGAAGACAAGGAGAATATTCAACATCATAAAGAAAAATGGGACGAATTAAGAGAGAACGTCCATAAAACCAGACTGATAAAGCATAGCTTTCCCAGGTCGGATGGAGTTCAAGTAATTACCCCTAGTGCAAAACTCGATGATTCTTTTGCTGCAGCTCCAGCTGCTTCTACTCCTCGTGCTTCTCCTTCTCGTATTCCTGCACCTGTTGCCTCTATGGCAGCTATAAATGGGAAGAGAAATGTTGCATCCCAAGTTTCAAGTTTCCAACGGCCACAGCTGGATGTTGGTGACATGCTTGATAATCCGTCTGGTTCGAACGAATCAATAAGATTATTGCAACAAGAAATACAGGCCCAAGATCTTAAAATAAGGGCCCTAGAGGATCAAGTACAAGAACAAGCAGGGCAACTTCGGGCCGATAGACATGAGATCGAAGTCCAACGCAGAACAATTGAAGATCAAAAGATTCAATTGGCATCGGCTGCTGTTGAACGTCAAGATATTATCGACGAATTCCAAATGAATCAAAGGAAATTAACCAATGAATATTATGACAAGATTGGAAAGATGGAGAGGAAATATGAGTCGGAAATCCAACGATTGAAAGAACAAGAGCAGCTTGATCTTGACGATGCTAAAGTGGAGGAATTACAAGAGGAATTGGAGACGGCGTTTTTTAGAGCGTCGCGTTTCAAGGATGCCTTGAAGACAAGCTTCAAGAGATATAGAATGCTTAAACATGATATGGAATTGCTTCACCAGAAGTATGATGGATTACGACTGCTGTATCGTTTCTTAAGCATGTCAAAGGGAGTGCTGGTAAAGCATGAGGATATCGATGCTCCCTTACTTTCTCCTGATCATGATACCGAGTATTCTTTAGAAATTCCATCTACGGATTTTTTGCTAAACCAAGGAGAAGAGGAAGAAAATGAAACAGATACAACGGCTTTATGCCATCCTGACAATCCCCAGTCTCGCGTACAACAACCATCGGAAATCGAAGATACCACAGCCCTAATGCTCCTGCAGCTTGAGACAGATGTTATCTCGACGGCCCCTCCAGCCAAGTCCCATGCTAAGCCTAAGTTAAAACCATACATACTTATGGTGATTTTTTTGATTCGGGCCACCAAAGCTGCTACAAGGGCTCGAGCCCAAAAAATTGAATTTGAGGAGATGCATTATGAGCAATCTGGGGTGCAGATGGAGGAAGTCAATAAAATGGTTAGAACTATTGAAAGAAACATAGAGAATCAGACATCCTAGGTGTATTTGTTATGTATTCAGGAAGTGGTTGTCTAATGATAGTTGGCTGTATATTTTTAGATAGAAATAGAAATAGAATTATAATGAAGCTGTGCAGGGATTCTTATGTCATAGAAGCGTATGTAGTCTTATGTCATAATAAATAACGTATCTCCAGATATGTCACAAAAAGTGAGATGGAAATCAACCTTAAATTATTAAAAAATTATTATGACGACGACGATAATAATTCTCTAGCCTGTTTGGGTATTTCATTGTGCCCATAGGTGCGAACGCAATTATCCGGTAGTATGTGTTTATTATAACCTTGGGGTCATTTCGCTTCGCCACGATAGTCTGACATGATAAACAATGGTTGATAATAAATTTGCGCCACAAAAATAAAGTTTAAATCACGGAAAAAAAATTAAGCGAGATGCGTTACACAAAAAAGAAAATAACATTAATTGTTCCGGGGATACCAGCATTGTTGTTGTACCTGTCATTAAAGTCGAGGCTATGATTAGAAGAAGATCATGACGATGCAATTCTTAAGGAGTTTTGTTTGTGTCCTGTTTAGTATTAAGGGGTGTGTGTTCTATTTTTAGGGTTTCTTGTTTTTTCAGATGCAACAATTTTAGTCTTACATATTGACTATTTCAAAAAGATAGTGCAACCCTGTATTATTCTTGATGTAACATGGGAGATAACGTGTCCCCATGGTTCTAGGACATCATGCGGTGGATTTTAATATACGAAATGCACTATGACTGACACTGTATACAAAATGCCTAATGGAATGATTTGTTTTCCTTAAGTTTCTTTTTTCTTCCGTTTTGAAGTCATCTTTCTGCCTGGCTATGTACTTTTTTTGTTTCTTCGCATTACGTCATTACGTCATTGCTACGTTTTGCTTATAATTTTTATTCGGTTCAGCCAATTCAGCCAATTCAGCCTACTACTAACAGTTACCTCATAATAAAATACTATTGCCAATCTTTTTTTAATCATCATTCATCATTCATCATCTTTCAACTTGCATCACCTTCTTTTCTTCTTACGTAACTTTTATTATCATCTTATTATTTATCTTGTAATCACCTTATACCCTTTATACCCTTTATACCCCGTCTCATATCATCGTCAGATATATAATAATAATAAAGTAATCACGTTTCCAATTTACTTGAATGTTATAACTTATATTACTAATCTTATATCACACAAATGAATCCAGATATCATAACTACTATTACTAGTACTACTCCAGATAAAGACATTAATATACCAACTACTAATGTTACTACATCTAGTATACTACCCCTGCTATTTCGCAGGCGATCTTCTAAACCAGGATTATCAATAGATGTACTTAAAACAAATGCTCCTAGAACCAACTGTACCACTACCTCCCCCAGTGGCAATTCAACATTTGTTTGTTCACCTTCACCAAGTCTAACTACTACGTTCACATTTTTGCCACCATCCATTCATCTACAAGATCCATTAAGTTTAACCGCCACTTCATTTGATTTTATTTTTGATGTTAGGCCATACAATCTATATTCAAAATCAAGAATAGCTTCGGCAATCAATATTTGTGTTCCAACTACCCTTTTGAAGAGAACTTCTATGACACTTTTGGATATGTTAAATTTTGCAACTAATTTGCTGCAATATCAAAAAGACTTCCTCGTTGGTAAATTAACTGACAAAGATGCTAATGGTGACAATATTTCAATACTAATCTATGATCAATGTTCATCTAAAGGCTGTGTATCATTTTCATTATATCAAACATCTTTAAGATTTGATAAATATGATGATAGATTTAACACATCTGTTCTTCAAGGTGGTTTTCAATCAGTACTAGATACTACCATAATTGATACTCAACAAATCATAACTGATGTAGCTACTGCCCCAATATCTGCGACACCACCAATCTTTGGATCTCCTCATAAAGTACACAAAAAGAAAGCTGCAAGTTTGTCAGGGTTCACATTACCTTCAGCCACAAACTTTAAAACCAAGTTCGTTAGATCCATTAAAAAGAACAATCCACTGCATCCTATAACCACCACTACCAACAGTTCATCATATACTTATACATTTAAATTTCCAGGTGATCTAGACTACGGCATGGACTTTCCCAATTGGTTACAATTCCTTATCAATCAAGATAACTCATCAATCATCCAATACTTCAACCACCAATTCGAAACAATCGAAGATCAAGAGAGGAAACGACTTCGTACACTTGCATCCAATTTTAATCCATTACTGGATATATATGCACGTCCAGCATCCCCAGCACAACCAGGAACAACGTGTTGTGAATCATGCAAGAGGATTCAATATATGATGCCCCAAGGTGTTGAGTATGGTTTTAAGAATAGATATAAGAATATCTGGCCCTATGAACATTCACGAGTCAAGCTTGCCTCATCTATGGATATTGATGGCCTGGATGATTATTTCAATGGTAATTTCATTGATAGTAAGAGTATCCTCCCAAATCCATTCACCTATGTTGCTACTCAAAACCCACTCTCTTCAACCATTGACGATTTCTGGAGGGTTATCTCACAAGAAAATATTGGTTTGATTATTAATCTAGACTCAACCCCCATCAATTATTTCGATTCCAAATATGTCGATTCTGTCCAGATCATTCATACTACCGAATCATATATCGTTCGAAAAATAAATAATAAGGTTTTTCATTTCCATTATCTCCATTGGCCAGATTTCGGAGTCCCACAGAATTTCGACTCATTATTAGATTTAATCAAATATAAAAACCACCTAGTTTCCAATCATCCATCCATTTCCAAAAACGTTTTGGTTCATTGTTCAGCCGGCTGTGGAAGAACAGGGGTCTACATTACCATCGATAGCCTAATCCTGGCGATGCGTAATCATAGTGATGTCACTTTGAATACTGATCAAGATTTGATATTGTCATTGGTTCAACATCAAAGAAGACAACGGTTGTCAATGGTGCAGAATTTGGATCAATATATTGTGTGCTATGAGATTTTCTTGCATTATTTGAGTGAGTTTCAACAGAGGAAGATGATGAAGGAAGCGTTAGTGAGTGGGAGTGGTTGTGGTGCTATGAGCGATACTAATTATGAGCTTATTAATTCAATAGAGAAGAATGGAACTGGGGATTTTCCATTTGAGTTCCCAAAGAAGGTGATGTATGATGGGAATACTGGTGGAGCTGAAGTTGATTATTTTCTGCAGGTAATTAGATCGCCTGTTAGATCTAGATAGAGAAAGAACGAGTTTTGTATTTATAAATTTATTAATTATTTGGGTTTTGTATTGTTTCATATTGGTTTTTAGAAAAAGTTATTTGGTAAACATATTCTATTTAGTATTCATTTTTGGTTTTTAGATAAAATATAAAAAAAATCATGCTTTGTAAATTGCCCTGTAGTGTGCTCTTCTTATTCACTGTCCAATTTGATGAAATGATCTCTACATGCATCTACAGCTTCAACGGGTATTCCAAATATTGGATTAATTGGAACTGTATACTTATCAACATTGAATAATTGAGGGAATTTATGTATATCATCTTTATGTGGAATAGCTGCATCTAATTTATAAGCCAATGGTACATCGTCATTAGCATAATCATCTTTCAATTTGATTAAATGTTCACAAACACTTAATCCACATAAACTATAATTAGTATGATAAAAATCAACCGATTTACCTGGCTTATCTCTAAACCCACCATTCTTACTCTCTTGAGCCACTCTCAAAATATAATGATATAATCCATCACGATCAAATAACTCTTTACTATCAGTCAAAACTTCCAACATGGGGAACAAAGCTCCAATCCAAAAACTATAACATGCATCCACAAGTTTATTTGTCCTCCCACTCAATCCACCTTCAATTGAACCCTGTCTTTGAGTTGTCCATTCAATCAATGAATCCAAATGAATTGACTTCTTGATCTTTTCAACATCATTATTCAAGATGAAATAACTAGCCAATGCACAAAAGGAATATCCTCCATGGGCTTCAGTATTAGGAACACCAGCAAACCCACCTTCATAAGTCTGACATAAATCCAAATAATCCTGAATACCATCAGTCAATTCCGGAGTCAAGATATTCAACAAGGATCCAATGACAAGAACACAATAACAGGACCGAACATCACTTTCACCATTTTCATGAACGGCAAAAGATCCATTAGGAAGTTTAAGGGACATAAACCATCCATATAAGTTTCGTCTAAGTTTGTTCAAGAGTCTATAATTTCCAACGTCGACAAGTGAAAGGATTCCCGCATATGTGCTTGCGATATGACCTAATTGATTGGCACCACCGGCAATTCCTCCCTTACCATCGTCTACAATACAATGGGAGATTTTTTCATTGACTAATTCAATAGTATCTTGATCCAATCTTTCATCTCCGGTGAATAATTTGAAGGAATTGATTAACCAATAGACCATCCAAGGGTGATTGGCATCCAAGGGATACAATCCGGGGAAAGTACCATATAGAGCCTCCATCACAAATTGTAAATGACGTGGAGTATTAAGGATCAATTCTGGGTTTTTGATATATGTTTCCAAAATCGATAATTCTGTTTCTTCTTGCAGAATTGTGGTTTGTGATTTATATCCATCTTTAATTGGTGGGTCGATGGGATTGAAATGAAATTCGGGATTGAAGGCCAGTTCTAACATTATATTTTCTAGGTCGGAAATATCTTCAAAATCACTTGCTGTTGCTTTAGATGCTGCTGAATTAAGGCTCGTGGCTGAACTTACTGTATAAATTGGGTTACGTTTACGTCCTAATAATTTCAAAATATATTGAGCTTTGGTTTTTTCTCGTTCAGTCATTCGCTCTGGGGCTATTCCTTATTTATTTATAGTTTGATTGTTTGTGACAATGTATGGAGGTGTAATGCCAAGTACTAAAAATTTTATCAGAACAATGTTACACGGGGCGTGTTAGAATGTGAATTTTAACAAGGATAATTCTTAGTAAGGAGAGTAAGAGATGGGAGAGAATTATTGTAGAAGATGATTTGTTAACTATGTGAAATTTGGGGGGACGGGGGGTGAGAAGGCTGAAGAAAAGAAAAATCACCTGTTTTATTGAAGTTTGGATGTTTTTCCTAATTAGGAATTGACAATGGGGGAATTTTTATTTTTAATTTTTTTCTTCATAATTTTTTAAACACGAAGAAGATCCTTAACACACTTTTTTTATATGATCAAAAAATTTCCCGTCAATTTAAAACACAACTATCAGATTAATAGTTGATTATTCTCAGGTAATTATGATAAAAAGAATTCAAACAAAAAAGAATGCGATTTCTGTGGATCGAACACAGGACCTTCAGATTAAACTGTGACTGAATCTCTTCAGTCTGACGCTCTCCCAACTGAGCTAAAACCGCTTTCTTGTTGAAGAAAATTGGTCACGTGACCTTCAACACGTGACTTTTGTCCAATTTTTCGTGACACAAAAATGGTTCTATCAACAAGCGTTTAATTACCATTTTGCAGCCAAAACTAGTAGGCAAACGAACTTCATTTTCGTGCTAAAAGCCTTTGCTGTTGTACCCTACAGTGTGTTCTTGAGATAAATTCTAATAATAATATTCACTGGTGTCCCACCGAAGTTGCGAAAGTATGCCGTTCACTAGACACTGTTTTTTTATGTGAAGGTAGCTCAAAGGTCCAAAAAATCAAAATTGGGCTACAAGATAACGTAAAACCATTGGGATTTGATCCAATCTATATCCAAGTACTGTGGATGGATTGAGTTAAATATTCAACGACTGTAGAACATATTGTTCATTCTCTTGTGCTTTAGTAATTATTTTGTAATTTATCTGCAAAAATATATCATTGGGGTTGTGACCATATTTGGAGATTCAAAGTATATAATTTCCCGTCTGCTAAAGAATTAGACGTTTAAATTGAAAGAATTCAGTGTAAAGGTGTTATAATTCTGTTAGGCGTATTTTAATATTTAGGTGTCTTAAATTTTGCAACCATTTTCTCATTGGTCTCACAAAGATCACCAGTCCCTCCACCAAAAATCTGCAGCTGCGTGTGCCTACTGTTTGTCTTCATAGAAAATAACCCCTCTTATCATCAGGATATTCACCAATTTTGATCCCCCTTTTTTCTGAAGGATAAACGACATTTTCTGTACCATTTTGTGTCAATCCTGTTGATTGATGGAGGTGATGCGTTTGTCCCACCAAAAAAGCGCAAAATACTTTTTTAGAGAAATTATTAAAATTAAAAACAAGAAAGACCCTCTTAATTGATGGTTTTAAGGATTCCGTCTCTGTTGTTAAAGAGGTGTTTTCGGTGATAAAGAAATATGAGGATATAGAATTGAGATGTACCATATTTTTCCGGAAATGCAATACAACGTTTTGTGTAAGGTTTTGATAAGTGATGTGTTTTATTAATTAAGAATTTTGCAACCAATCTTAGAACAAAATATTTGAATATGACTGGCAGTCTCACTGTATACTTGCTTAGTGAGATGATCAATTCTCAGCTTATTTTCTAGGATTTGTCTCCTATATTATCCTAATAACCATCAATTGAGATAAGCTGCTCGGAAGATAACGTTCTTTTTCTAATAATTTCTTCATATCAGGAAACACCACAATTGCAAAGCTTCTGGAACAACCTAACCCTCTCTCTCTTTGAGATTTAAGTTAAGAGTGTGTTTATTTATTAGTTGCAGATATCACACAAGTGTTCATATGCGAGTCATAATTATATATACAAGAACCTCTAGGTAATTTCTCCTCGATAAAATTAATAGCTTTTTAAGGTAGTGGCTACTCAATGTAATTATGATTTTGCTGCTTCAAATAAGAATGCAACACTTGTATATTCTTTGGAATGCAACTATAAGTGGGCTTTAATACAATATTTAATGTCAATACTTGCGATATAAATGCTGTAGTTAGTAGTCATTTTTGATCCTCCTATTTTGCTTATTATGATTCAGCGCTCTACTTTCGGTTTCTCTTATTTATTCTATCTATAGATTCAGTATATCATTACTCTTAGAATAGACTGAAGCCATTATACAACTTCTTGAATACAATCGTTAAGTTAACTGAATCTAGCACTCAGTAAATAATCAATTTGCAACTAGTGTTCTTGGTCGCAAAAATTATTTGCAACATTGTGTCAGAAACTTAATAAATATGAGACCACCAACATGGACACTACAGTAATATCAGTATCTTCTAGGGTACATCTTTGAAGGGAGTATATATATGCGTTGTCTTGTTTGTGGTGTAGAAGAAGAAGGGCGATCAATTGTTAATATGGTAGCACAACACTCCCTCGATAAGATCAGAAAAAATCGTGTACAATGGCAAATTTATTTTATGCTCAAATGAATCACCATTTATCAAACCCTTACTATTCTTCTTCTTCTTCTATCTACAACTACCGCTACCAACAACAATCATGTCATCAATTCCTATATGGCTAAGCCGCTTATTACCCACAAGGCAAGTAAGAGGAGGATATCAAGCAGTATCCAATAATAGTAATGATGTACCGAGTAGTACATTACCAGGTGCATATCCCGTTGAATCAGTTGAACCAAGAAATCGAAACTATTTCAATTCACAAACAATACAAGCTACACTTCGTAAAATACCCAATTGGATCATCTATTTCATCATTCAACCAATTATAATTCTCGTGCTTATTTTATTCCGAATATTAGGAAAAGTAATCAGTTTATTATTCACAACTTCATCATTCACATCTACGGCAACTACTAAACAAGTTATTGATCCTACGGATAGAGCACATCGGTTTATACGAGATTTGGAAGATAATTTACCCGTGACATTAAATCCCATGGATGCATTACCACCATTTTTCCAAGGTAGTTATACTCAAGCATTATATATGGCCACGAATAGAGCAAAATATTTATTCATCTATTTAACTAATTCACGTAATGAAGGTTCAAATCAAATATTTAATAAGATTATTATTAATCGGGAATTTGTTAATCTTTTCCAAGATCCAAATATGATAATATGGGGTGGAGATTTGACAAATCCTGAAGCTTATCAATTGGCAAATAGTCTTTGTGTGACTAAGTTCCCATTTTTGGGATTGTTATGTTTGACTAGAACTACCACCATGAGTCCTACTGGTCCAATTAAGACGCCGGCAAAGATTAGTTTAATATCCAGATTACAAGGAGGGTTGAAAGGTGATGCCGATGCTAATGGGTTAATTGATCATAAATTTAAGAAGAAGATTGCCAAGTATCAAGATGAATTAATATTGATTAGACAAGAATTGGAGGATAAATTTATGTCAAGACTTTTGGTTAAACAACAAGAATTGAATTATCAAGCATCATTGGAGAAGGATCGTGCTAAGAAACGTCAACGAGAATTTGAGAAATTGACAAAAGAATATCTTGTTTATATTGCGCCTAAATATCGTGATTTAATTCATCAAAGAAGTGATACTGCCAAGATTGGAATTAAGTGCAAAGATGGAACTAGACATACTGTTTATTTCCCTAAAGAAATGAAGATTGAAGATATTTTCATATATGTTGAATTAATGAATCGAGGATATTTATCAGAATCAATAATATCAACATTAAGTGAACATGAAGCTAGTGAAAAATTTCAAAACTTTAAATTAACTTATAAATTTCAATTATCATCTCCATTACCTCCAAGGCAATCATTAATTGATAAAAGAGATCAATTTATAATGGATGTAGATTTAGTCTATCCAAGTGGATTATTATTAGTTGAAGATATATAATATAATATACAATAGTTTACTTATTTTGAAACCTTATGACTTTTCTTACTCTTTTTCTTTTCCCTTTTCTTTAATCCAATAAAACCAGCTTTTATAATTTGAATATAATTATACCAGAAAACATCTAAATTATTTGATTCAATCACGGTAGAGAATTTTATTTTATCTTTTTTATCTTTTCTATTATCTTTAGAATTTAAGCTTATTCTAATTAGCACAGGATATGTTGAAGTATTAACAGGAATGTCATCCTCTCCTTTAGTTTCAATTACATTTGAAGGTAAATCAGTTGGTTTTGAATTGGATACTGGTTCTAAAGGTAATGCTGATGATAATCTTTTTTGAGTTAAATATATGGAATTTTTCCCGTTGTTTTTAGATAAAACTTTAGTTATTTCTTTTAAGAATTCAGAATTGCCTAATCGTGTCATTTTCTATTTAAATTTTATGTTGATACTCTTCAATGAATGAATGAATGAATGAATGTCAATTATGTTGGAGATTTTAAAGAGAGAAAAAAAAGTTGATGAAAATTGAGTGAGGGTTTGATTTTTATATACAGGAATTTGAATCTGTTTTTTGCAACAAGTCAATGATTAGCTGAACATCTCTAATTAAGGTATGTGATAAATGGAGTAAATTTGTAGAAGAAAGTGTAATACTAGGTTGAAATTCAGTTAAACAGACCAGGTCATTTAAAGAGCGGCTAGCCAAGGAAATAGATTTCCCTACCAAAGTTTCCCGTGTCGCAAATTCGCCCATTCTGAAAACTATAAAGTCAAATGGCTTCTGTAGTTGTAATTGGCTTCTTGGAGGCTTGTTTGAAAGGAGTATGTCATTATGCGCTTTACATTGCGTCTTTGATATTTGTTTAATTCCTTATATAAATGTTCCTATGTCGAGTGACATTCATCTGGTATTTTACGCAACACTTGAAAGCTGATTACCAAAGAAAGATTTCATACATTCCATTGAATAGGGGAGAGTTACTACTACAATGTTTATATTACTAACCTTCCAACTAACAATTGTTTCATATTCTAATATTCATAACGTATATATTATATCAATTGAATAATTAATTGGATTATGTACATTGAATTCTTCACATGGTAGCTCCTTACTACGTTACTCCCCCCCTTATATTTACAGTTCGCTTGCTTTTTGTCCCATACAACAATTAAATTATTATTTTTCTTATCATTTATTTTATTTATTTATTTATGCAACTAAAGATCATTCAATTTATTTATAGATTTATACATATCATCATCATATAGATTATACTATACACTGCTAGATAGATAGATATACACATACTAGATTACACTATAGATTCAGAATAACATAGACACACGAACATTTAATACAATAATAAAAAAGAATACAATGACAACTTCACAGGATACTCATTTACGAGGAAGATTGCTTTCCCTTGGAGTATCAGTATTAATTGCAATCGCTTCAGGTACTCCTTATTTATATGGAGTATATTCACCTCAACTAGTTAAACGAGTTGGTCTCACTACATCTGATTCTGCAACCATATCCCTTTCCATTACAATAGGTACAAGTGTAGGTGGTTTGTTTGGTGGGTTTTTAATTGATCATTTTGGTCCCCAACGTAGTATCATGATGGGTTCAATATGTATTTTATTCAGTTATTTCGGAATGCATAAAGTTTATGAACATAGATATGCCAATATGTGGGTTATATGTTTATTAATGATATTGGCTGGACTGGGATCAATAACAGCTTTCTTTTCCACTATTAAAGCAGCAACCGCGAATTTCCCAAATCATAGAGGTAGTGCCGCGGCATTACCAGTAAGTGCATATGGATTTGCCGCAACTATATATTCATTCATTGCAGCTACGTTTTTCAGTCATAGTGCTGGGGATTTATTGTTATTTTTGGCAATATTTTGTGGATCAGTAGCATTTTTTGGTTCATTCTTTGTCCACATTTATATTGATAATCTACTACTACTACTACTTCCACCCCTATAACTTGTTTCCTAGGGTAGAGGATGGTTGAAGAATGTTGATCCATTTATCACGCAAGAGGATCAACTCTCTTTACTTACTGAACAATCCTTTGATCCAGAACAAGCACTGGATGGAGGTTCAATACAACGGACAGAATCTTTAAGTGGATCATTAGCATTCTGGGGTATAGGTGAACGTACTCCAGGGGCAACTTCAGAATCAGAAGCATCAAGTTTATTATCGATTGGTAATTCAACCATAACCCCTCAACAACCACCACCCTCAGCTGTATCTTCAATAAAACCTCCAACCAGAGAGAATACAATCAATGCTTTGAGTATATCTAATCCAAACTTATCATCTCAAGTGTTGCAACTTAAAACTCAAACAGCAACACAAACCCAAACAGGCTCATCATCAGCTGCTGCATCTGCCACCACCACACCATCTCCAATATCAACCAATTCCTCCAAGAAATCAAAAGCCCCATGGGCAGTAATGAAACGTCGATTAACCGACAAAATATTCCTAACCGACTACCTCATAGTCTCAATCATCAGCGGAATAGGACAAATGTACATCTATAGTGTTGGATTCATCGTCACCGCCCAATATTATTATGGAAAACAACCAACCACTCATATCAAAAGAGGTGGTGGAGGTACACCAATTGACCCGCATGCAGAACATCTTCAAGCAATTCAAGTGTCTGTGATTTCAATTGCGTCATTTTCCGGCAGATTAATTGCCGGATTCGTGAGTGATTATTTACATAAACGATTTCAAATCCAACGACTTTGGATCGTACAATTCACAATTATATTAATGAGCGTGGGACAATATCTTTTGATTGTGAATGTGTCTAATCATTTATTGGTGGCGGTGACATCGGCTATTGTTGGGGGTTGTTATGGATTGGTGTTTGGAACATATCCTGCGATTATTGCTGATAAATTCGGGACTAGGACTTTTTCAACAACTTGGGGTTTGATATGTACTGGACCTTTGATTACTTTATATGTGTTGAATAAATATTTTGGAAAGATTTATGATGGAAATACTGATGCAAAGACTGGGATTTGTTATTTGGGTAATGGATGTTATAAACAAGCATTTGAATTGAGTATTATATTATGTTTTGCGGTATTTTTCATTAATTTAATTCTTATTTATTATCAAAGAAAGAAGAGAAGGTAAACACATAAATAGGTTATTATTATTCATAAGTTTTATATACAAAAGGGGGACACAAATCATAATAAAAAACAATTTACATAAATTAATTAGTTTTAATCCACAAGATGAACACTCTCTAAATCAATCTCATTTAATTTTCCTTGTTGATATTGTATTTTTTTCAATAAGTTATGGAAATATCCAAAACTTAATTCAGCATCCTTAATTGACTTTTCTAATTCATTCTTTTCATTAATCCTCTTATCAAGAGTTGTTTGGAAATTATTCATAACTTGCCTATTTGGATAATTCAACACTTGTCGACATTCCCTAGACATTCTTACCGCATTTTGATGACTATATTCCAATTCAACAATCTTTTTCTTAATCTTCCTAGCTTGTTTCCTAGGTAACGCATTGGGAATATCACTGATTAAATAATAAATCGTGAATCCCGAAATACCAATCACAATAGGAATAGCAACTTTTTTCAAAACATTTGGTGTCAAATATCTCGAGAATTGATAACATTTATGAATCAATGCACCAGTAGTTAACAATTTCCCCGAGGAATAGATAGTGTGTAAGGTTATTTGCAGGGGGATTTGATCTCTCAATGCGACTGCATTGGTGGGGACCGATGTAAGGATAGATAATGGGTTGAAATAATTGATTTGGTGTCGGGATCGTGATTACTTAGGAAGTCCCTATGGTTGTTTGTTATTTGTACTTAGTTAACTTGGATCAAAGAAATCTAAGATTTCAATACTATCATCAATTTGTCTACCGATAGTATCTTTCTTTCTGGTAAACATTAAATCAGATTTAAATACTTTATCATTCAAGAATTCTTCTCCAAGAGTATTTTGACCATATTTAATAATTTCATCAACTTTTTCAGTGGTGATTTGTTTAGTTGTTTCTTCACATTTGGAAACAGTATCAAATATTATATCCATCATGGCATTTTGACTTTCTCGGGCATATTCAAATAAATATTGTAATCCTCCATATTTAACCACTGGTTTCTCACCGAGATTATTAACCACCCTTGTTATTTCTTTACTGGTAAGATCATAAATTTCACTACATGTATTTTCAATAAGTGAATTTATAGAATCACAAATCTTACCTGATTTATTAACAATCTCATTATATTTAGGTTGGACTTTTGTATTCAATTCTTGTAATTTTTCTAATTTTTCATTCTTGTATATCTTTTCATTTATATGTGATAATGTTTCCAAATCATTCAAAATATTAACTAAATAATTCTTGGCCGGTAATAATTTCGAAATTGATCTCTTTTCCAATATGAATTTACGTAAGGAAGCTTCAAGAAGATCGAAATCAGGATGATCAGGATGACCATCGTCATCTCCTCCATCATCTGGTCCATCATCACCACCACCACCACCACCTTCGCCATCTTCAAGTACATCGGTTGCACTTACGAAATGAACAAATTCTTTGGCATCCTTATATGTATCAGGTGAAAGATTCTTGATTTGATCCAAAATTCGATTCTTACATTTTTCTTTATCCTTAATATTATCAAATCTATTAACCACAATAAACACATATCTCTTTTCAGCCGCAGCAGCTGCGATAAATTCCTTAGCTGATAACGTAAAATGATTCTCGGCACTTACTACAAATACAACCAAATCAATTTCTTCTTGTCTTGAGAAAACTTGGGTGGTTTGATAAGAATCCATATTTAATCCTGGGGCATCGATTAATTTTATATCTATGACACCATTATGTAGTATTGAAAGAACTTTACTAGCCACCAGATTATGTATATGAAAGTTATCTGATATAGAATCACATTCATAAACAAGATCCTCGAGATTCTTGATTGGATGGATTTCATAAGTTGATTCATCACGAATATTATAATCTTTCCCAATTGGGATTGCATGAACTTCTTCCAAACTATTATTTTCTTTACTTGCATCAACAACTTCACAAAAGACAGAAGTACATGGTTGTTGATCTTCTGGTAATACTTTTCTTCTCNCGAATATTATAATCTTTCCCAATTGGGATTGCATGAACTTCTTCCAAACTATTATTTTCTTTACTTGCATCAACAACTTCACAAAAGACAGAAGTACATGGTTGTTGATCTTCTGGTAATACTTTTCTTCTCAATAATGCATTACAAAAAGTTGATTTACCAGAATTCAAATCTCCAGTAACAAATACTTTAGAACTTGTATCATCGACTCTATCTTTCAAATTTAATAAATATTTCACTTGTTGTTGTAATTTCTTTTCTAATAAACTTGCAATTGATTTCTTATCTAAATTTGCCATTACATTATCATGATGACTTCCAATCTTTAAATTCAATTTCAAAATCTTAAACTCGGGTAAATCCTTTTCTAAACTATCATCATCTTCAGTTATTTTTGATTTATTCAAAGATTTAAGTGATAAATTTTGTCTCACTAAAGCTAAATGAGCTTTTGGTGAATTCAATAAAATCGAATTATCATCTTCAATTTCAGTTGGATAAAATATTGGTCTTTGTTTATTCTCTTCAGATAATTCATACATTAATTCAATAGTTTGATTTATTGCTCGATCCAAACAAATTCTATTCTCATTATAATGTAATTGTTGAACCGATGCATCAACCGTCTTCTTTTGACGAGGAGTAAGTCCTCTTGAACTACTGCTGCTCCCCTCTTGTCCGTCAACAAGTGTTGTGGTATCATGATGGTGGTAGCTTGATGATAAGTGACTAGAACCAGGAGTATACACTACACTAGTTGGTTTTGAATGTAAATATGAATCATCAACTAAAGTATCCAAATCATCTTCTTTTTGTTGTTGTTGATGATGACCATTATCATTGGTGATAATCTTATCTAAGGATTTCTTGGGTATCAAATTAGGGAAATCAGACATCTTGGAATCAAACTCAAACTAGATGATTCTTGA